GCTCGATCGACGTTGTGATTATGACTTTACTACTAGACGCAGAAGACATAACGGCTGCGTTCGAGTGTACCCGCGTTGATACTCTAGTGTCCATGTTCCTGGCTGTAACAGTCTCTGTAACGTCTTTATCGCTGGACGCGAAGATGAGTTCGCGCCATCGACTGAGTGAAGATTCGTTGACACCGTAGATTATCGCGTCGACGAGACCTTGTGACACAATGCAGGCCTGCTTAAGTCAGTGCTGTGGCAGAGTAGTGGTGAGATTACTAACTTTGTCAACCGTCTGCAACGCAAATGGAGCTGGAGTATGCTTGATGGTCTGATATACACGAATGGCAGTAGGCAGTGTCCACACCAGCATATACACCACAGGATACATAATCATCAATCGTGCAATCTATCTCATAGTTAGCACTATTTCGTGCGCCATCGGAAACAGAAGTAACAAACCCTTTGCAGTCTTCGACGACCAGCGGCATCTGACTCGTGATACCGCCAGACATCATGATTCGATCGCGTAACAGTCCTTTCTCGAGAAGGTTCCGATGCCGAGTTTGAGTTCCCAAGCGAGATGAAGCTCTTGTGCGACTTTCGAAGAATAAAGTACAGACGGGCGTACATGGAGAGGATGGTGATGATGATGACCCATCGCGGGACGAAGTTGGCGAGCAGGCGGACTTCATCAGAAGTGAACCAGCACCCTAATAAAGTCAATACAACCCCCTATTTTAGTGCTTCATGACGTACAAGCTCCAATATCACCATACCCCGCCAGTTTCAGTCCAAGACCAGCCCATAGCAAACTGAGTGCCCATGGTAGACACGAAAGAAAGATGCGTTGATCTTGGACCCACGACGATAAGGATTTGTAGCCTGCTAGAATGACGTAGGTACACAACGCAATAGTCAATACCCAGTAATCGGTCTGTATGACAAAGACTTGGGTCATGAAGCCATTGAAACTGCAGAATGTCTGGTGTTCTGGGGCGCCGATCTCGTTGCCGTTGATGTTCATGGCAGTTGATGAGAGGAAGTTGAGCGCCATGAGAAAGTCGCTAGCTGCGAGGCCACTGAAACTAATGAGTACATAAGAGGTTGAAGAGTGAGTGCTAGGGTTACAAACAGGATGAGTTGATGGCGGAATGACTGGAGACTTTTGAAGACCTATGCATCGTAAGCTAATTGTCTCATAGCGATGTGCCTTGGGTCATTACACAGAAGCTGACGATGATCCAACCAGCTCCAAGGATGGAAAGAATCGACACGACCAGGATAACAATACTTTGCAGGACCATCTCTGAGCGATCAGCCGGAGCGGCTAGTGCCTCACGACGATAAACATGCATTGGCGACTCCATTGTCGAAGATTAGACGCCTAGCGAGGCGCTACGACTGGGGAAAATCAGATGGCGCGATAGACTTCGAGCTTGACAGGACGGACGCAGAGTAAGGCTACAAATGCAGGAGCGTGAAACGCTGATCTTAAGGGTCATTGATTGCTACAGCGGGTACCATTTCCGTTATCGTCCCAACTCAGCTGTTAAGTCCAGATATCCCCGGCCATGGCAGGATGCACAGACAAGTCAAAAGCGTCCTAAGCGTAACGTGCTAATGGATAGCTATCTTGACATGCGTACTTAGTAACTCTTATCACCTGTCAAGACTTTGCTCTTGACCAAAGCTAGCAGGCAGGTCAAGTACTTAACATCACCCAAATAGGAATCTCGAGAATCTCGAGTCATTGACCCCTTAAAAGGGACCGTTATTGAAGATAAATGCGTTGGTGGCTTGCTTCAGCTGCTGGCTGTACCTGTTTGAGACCAGGGGTTTTATCTTGATGCAGAGAATGGGGTTGTGTTATTGGTTGGGGCGGCTGTCAGCTCCGGAGATGCAGAAATCGGGTGGCTTGCCCCCACACGGGCACTGATAAGGAAATGTTGCGGGGTTTGTCGACGAGGTGAGAGAACATGGCTATTGATCGATTATTTATAGGGAGTCTAGAGTGAAGAGAGAAGAATTGTGGTACTGTTTGGAATGAAGTGATGGTTGAGGGTAGAAATGACAAATAATGTTATACCTAAGCAGGTTGTCTACATGGATCAGTGAGAAATGAGTGATAAAGGCGAGACTCAATGCATCGTCAGTTTGACTCAATTGAAGAAGCAATTAAGAAAACAATTCCAGTAAATCTCGAACGCGTAATTATGTCATACCTATAGAGAGATCTGATCAACGTCGTATCAATCGCCGCTCAGTCCCGCCCCTCGTCATCCCATCTTTAGAAAACGCGCTTCTACGCGTCTACGTCGCGTCAAACCCTCATGACGTCGCAACTCCACCAGCTCCATCACCAAGCGAGAATAACCGTTCCATCACGAATACGAATTGCTTCCAAAAGATCAGCCAATCTTATCAATCTCATCAGCTCATCTCGTCCATCCTCAGAGTCCAAATGTCTCAGCCGCGCAAGAGTCGGTGAACACAGGCAAAACTTTGTTCCGCTCCGCCCTCCTCCCTACCCCACAAACCGTACGTTCCCTCAGACCATTTCATCAACTCCTTCCCGCACGCGACACAACTCCCCCTCGAGAACATCACCATCAAAATGGCCAATCTGGGTGTTTTCGCAGGCGTCACAACACTCGTCGTTCTGCTCCTCACCTACGGCGTACCCCTCTTTCTGAAGGAGTACTTCCCCTGGCAGAGTCTCTACAAGCAGCGTCACGGCAGACCTACCGTGACTACAAAGTCGTACAAGGGACGTACTGCACTCATCACGGGTGCGAATGGAGCGTTTGGATCGCGGGCGGCCAAGATATTTGCGGAGAGAGATGTTGAGACGCTTGTGCTTGTTGATGTGAGGGATTGCAGTGGTGTGAAGGAGGAGATTGAGAAGGAGTTGCGGGAGGCGGGGAAGCCGGTGCCCAAGATTCTGGTCTGGCAGGCTGATTTGATGACGTTCAAGGGATGTCAGGAACTTGGGGCCAAGGCGAAGGAGCTGGAGCATCTGGATCATGTTTTGATGACCGCGGGAATTCTGGCGTTTAATCGTCGTGAATCGCCTGAGGGCTGGGAAACTTGTGAGTTTAACGATCTCAAGCTTGGGAGCATACTAACCTGTAACAGCCATCCAAGTCAACTTCCTCTCCGGCGCACTCCTCTCTCTCCTCTTCCTCCCCCTCCTCAAGTCCTCCCCAGCCAACCCC